GGAGATCAACAATTAATATCGAAAATTATTGGAGTTATAAAAATTATTTTTCACTCAATTAAAAAAATTTACGAAAATATTAATCCTTAATAATTTTTTAATTCTGCTTTAAAGAATTTTTAAACTTGCAAACAATTTTCTATATCGCATAAACTTTTGCAACAGGAATGATATAAATTTTTTTTTTACAATTTTTCACATCTCTAAGTATATATATACGAGAATAAACAAATTACATTCCGCAAATTACATTCCTAATAGATTTATTATGCAGTCTAGAATTAACAAAGTTAGAACATTATCTTGACAGAGGAATCATAAATTTTTTGTACCGTTCTCATTCAGCAAACTTCGTGCACTGAGAAATTTATTAGATATGTTTTACTATTAAGAGAACTAATGAAATTATAAAACGCTAAGCTACACCACATTTTAATCCGCAGTAATTTTTATCGTTGTTTCGTATGTCAAGACAGTTGAAATATAAGAGGGTAATGAAAGTCACTTAATATTAAAGCCGTATTACTCTGGTCCGATCTCATTACATCCCTTGATAGCAGAATGATTAACGTGGGACATGCTTTTCCGGTGCTAGACTCTTCAATTAGCTCCGACCGCATGTGACTGCTATGATGGGTCGCCTGCTGTAGGTTCCGGGCACTGCGTAATAGTTAAACAGGGTTTCGCCAACGTACATCCAGTTGGACGGTACTTTTCCAACGTACTCACGCGCAGATTAACTTGAAAAGTACATTCGCAGTCGTTTAATTTCCGTACGGGAAATCGTCGTCGCGCTATTTAGTCATTGCGCTTTTACAAGGGCTTTCACCGTGACAGTGATACTATCAATCGACTGATAAACTATATATGATTGTCGTGTGGCGAATAAATTTCAAACGAATAAAAAATATTAAATTGTGGATTATTGGTAAAAGAATCGATTACTTAAACACATATGTTTCATGTGATAATTTTTTTTGTTTAATAGATTTTTTACTCCCTTTTTTTCTTTTTTTCATTCATACAGCATTTCACGTAAAATTATAAATTTAAATTTGTAATAATGATTAAGATGTAAAATGATTTTGACGAGTATATGCTATCTTAATTCTAATTATGAATGTATTCGACGTTCAACTGCAACGGGCTAACTTGGTTAAAACCCCTGGCGCTATCGCCATGTCGCGGTTTTGTTTTTCACGCTGAAATAAGGGTTTACATTTCTTTAAGTGGGACCCAGGAGAGAGAGAGAGAGAAAGCGCGGAAAGGAGAGCATTACTGGCGCAGTAACGCACAGTAAGAATAGCGCGGCGCGTAGGATCTGTACGTAACGCTCCTTTACCGTTAGTATCTCACCAGGCGGATACAGTTAGATGACGTTAAAGCCATATACCTGCGCGGATGCACTTTGGCGCTGTTTCCCGATATTCTAAATCATTTCTACACACGATTACACGCGAGCGAGTACGAGCGCGTTTTACAGTTGGCTGTATACGAGCGTAACCGGCGCGAGAGTGTGTCTGGCCGGAAACTGCAAAGTACATGTAAATTGCCTGGCGTACTTCGTAAATTCCGCTGTCTCGCGGAGTAATCGCAATTTCTCGGAGAGCCGAAGGATAACGCGAAACAAGAAAGTATCTCGCTGAATCTCGTCACGGGCCTTGTTTTGTAGCAAAAGAGAAGAGAATAAAGGAGAATCTTTCGCGTATCGCGCGGCTACACGTCACCGTTTACAAAAATGTATGTACAAACTTTTATCTTACGAAGCTAGGCAAACGATTTCCAAGCCAGTTGTGTTACGTCTGCTATATTTTTCGCTACGATTCTTTAATATTTGAAATTATTTTTTTCTTTCTTAAAGATTTGAACGATATACGCCGCGTTCGAGTAACTTTATCACCGACGTTGTTACGGAGAGAAATTGACTCTTACATGATCATCGATGCTATTACAATATCTTCGTCGCGATATTAGAATTTTTGGGAGGCTCTTCGATACAGAACCGTGCGCGGAATGTAAATACTCGGGGCTCTTCCCGGATGATGACAATCATAAAAAAAAGCTATCGTATATGTATTACGCTCGAAAGCCCATAGTAATGAGAGTACAAATAAATTTGAATTTTTACCAGATTATTCATAAACCATCAATAATGAGGAAAAAGAAAAGGCTTTTTTTAAAAGATCATTATAATTATTAGATGCTTAATAGATGCAAAGTTCTCGCCATAAAATCTCTTGAATGTAATTTCGGTGCATAATTTTTTTTCGTCGTTACAGAGTATTTACTCCCTGGAAAAACATGGAAAACCTGGAATTTTCAGAGATTTTTTTGTAGCTAGAGAAATCAGAGAATTCTCCAGGAATTTTATTGGAATTAAAGGAATTTTTTTAAAAAGTCTCTTTTTGATAATTTTGATTTTATACTGTAAGTCAAGTTGTGAATTATGTGTTTAAAATATCTTATAAATATATATCTACCTCTTTCTGTTTATATATTCAATGTCTTAGCAAAATATCGAATATGCAATATATATTCTTTATTTTAATTTATAGTGATAAGACATTTATAGATATAAATCTAGCACTTGAAACTTAAATAGTTTCGTGTTTTTCCTTCGTAAATGAAAAGCATTAGAAAACACGTACAATAAAAAAATCATTTTTCAGGAAATTGCACCAAAAAATCTTTAAAATATTCTCTTTACCTGGAATTTTGAACAAAAATATCTGCAAGATTAAAAAATTTTTTTACAAAATTTGAGTAAACATCCTACATTATAGCAAAAAGATATAAGTTAAAGAAAACGTTTTCATTAGTACACTCTAATCCAATAGTTTTTTTATTCCGATGGTGTTTCACAATTGTCGCAAACGATTAAACTGACAAATTCCGCGAGACCCATAATTTAAATCGAAAGAGTAGCCGCAGTCGTTGCGAATTCGTAAAATAGAGTCGCGTCCTCGAGACATTCGAAAAATATGTGGCCAGTTTTACGGCATCGCGCGATGCCGTTGATATGTGCTCGGCTTCTACGTTGAAACCGACACTTTTATCCCGGATGTCATTTCGCTCTCGACAATCGGATACGCGCTCGTTGCGCGTAAAACTTGTAAAACTGTCAGGCACTTTTTGTCGCCAGCTACTAGACTTCCCGAATCGTTTCGCGCAATCGTAGAAGGACGAAGCTGAAAGAAGACTGATTGTGAGAGTCACCGATCGCGATAGTATCGCGCAACATTTCGATTCTCTTCTTTCTATCTCGTTTTTACGATTATTTTTTTCTCGCACCTGCATCTTGCGAATCTGCATCCTTTTGCGAAGGCTTGAAAAATGATTGTATAAACTGATGGCTCGTTTGAATGAAAGCGGCTATGGAAGAATCACTTTCTTCTACCAAAGTACGTTACATCTTGCGAAATTGAGCAGCCTATTTTCTAAGATGAGTGATTACTCGTCGGCTATGCTCTTATAAAAATATCCTCCAGACGAAAGTATTATAATGTATAAATGATGGATGTGGTGATAATGAATCGGTTAGTTATATATGTTATAACTATTTCGAACAAAACGCTCATGTTTTTCTATTAAAGATGCTATCGCTCAAATTTTTGTATTTTCTAAAAAAAAAAAAAAAGAAAAATTACTAGTGAGTCATCTGAATATGCTAAATATGCATGTACGATCACGTAACGTTCGCAATTCAATTAGATTAATCTCGAATATTCCACGACTAATAATATTTTCGATATTCACGATAAGCGTAACTATCCACAACCGGATAAGAAAAATAAGACCATATTCCGT